CTGGTGGTGACATAGTGATGAAAACGGTAGAGCTACTACTAGGAGTAAGACGAAGCAAGTAAGCCTCGGCGGCTGTTGTTGTTGAACACCATGTCTCTGAAGGCTTGGCGGAATTCTTCATGAGCAATTCCTGTAGTAGTACCTGATGACAATGACGACAGACGTTCATCAGTCTGTAATAATTGTGAATAATATTCACACAATATATATATATATATATATATATATATATATATATATATATTATATGAATATATATATATATATATATATATATAAACAATAATAGGCAGGACAGCGACAAACTGCACAATCACTTCAATTCGACTAACTGGATGTTGTTGTCATGGAAGCAACTCACAAAACATCCACTTATTGTTAGTACCAGCCCGCCTCCATCCGGCGGCGGCTGCTGCGGCTGCTGCTGCTGTGGCTGCGCCTGACCTGGCTGCTGCTGTGGTGGCTGCGCCTGACCTGGCTGCTGCTGTGCCGGCGACCGACCTCGCTGTTGCTGCGGCTGCTGCTGAGGTTGTTGTTGCTGCGGCTGCTGCCGCGGCGACTGGCCTCGCTGCTGCTGCTGCTGAGGTTGTTGCTGCGGCTGCTGCTGAGGTTGTTGCTGCGGCTGCTGCCGCGGCGACTGACCTCGCTGCTGCTGCGGCTGCTGCTGCTGCGGCGGCTGACCAGCTCCGTCCTGGAGCTGCGGTTGGGCCGCATTGACGGTCAAGTCGGTTCTGTGCGTAGGCACACCCCTAGGCCTTGTCGTCTGGCCAGTCTGACCAGGGCTTTGAAAGAACGGCGCTGAGCCCGGTGGTGGGGACCCAGCCGGTGGTCCTGGTCGTGGTGCTGCTAGCGTCGTCTGAGTCTGACCAGGCGGACCACCAGGTTTGCCGGACGGCGCTCCCTGGCCCTTGCCTGGCGACTGACCCTGAGCTGGGTTCGGGGCGCTCTTTTTTCCCTTACCGTTCCCCTTGTCCGGCCGGGGACCGTCCTGCTCGTCAAACCACACGTGGTGAGCGCCTTGGATGGCAGCGAGAGCAGAAAGAGAGAAAGAGAGAGAGAGTGAGAGAGAGAGAGAGAGAGAGAGAGAGAGAGAGAGAGAGAGAGAGAGAGAGAGTGTGTGTGTGTGTGTGTGTGTGTGTGCGTGTGTGTTCAAGCCTAGGCACAGTACTGGTGCATGCGCTCGCGCACGAGGCGCAGAGAACCTTGCTGGTGTCACGCCACCAGTGGCTCTCGTCATACATGAGGGACTGTCCTTCGCCAGCAACAACAACAACGAGTGATGATGACAATCGTCTAGTAATCACGGTGGTTCACTCAGACCTGTTGTTGAAAGTGACATAACCCAAGCTTCTGCAGCCAAGAGTCGGACCAGCTTGGGGGTGATCGCATGGGCGTCTTTTTCACCCTCTGGGTGGAAAAGAAGTGACCCCAAGTCCTTAGGATGTAAAGCTGGAGCAGGGCGGGCTGTCCTACCAGAAACAACAACAACATGATGTATTAGAAGCTGCCCCCACCCTGTAATAGTGACTATGAGGATTATATTATAGGGCCCTATCATATTCCTATTATACCACTATTACAGGGTGGGGGCAGCTTCTAAATGATGTATGTATGTTTGCATGCAGCAGCAGCCAGGGCACCACCCAAGCCTCAACGTCAAGATCCAGTCGGACCATGGCGGCGTAGAGGTGTGGAGCCTTAGCCCTGACGGATCCGACCACCTCAGCCAATCATTGCCAGCTACTGCAAAATGATATGATAAAACATGTCCGAAAATATCTGCGACCAGGCAGCGCTGCCGACGGCGTCTTTCCAAATCACGGGGTCCAGCCCATCGTGATTCACTCCAGCCTCGCGTGGCCTGAAGAGTGGTGCTGGGGCCGCCGGCGGCCTCATCATACCTCAGAGACTTCACGTGAAATGCTAGCAGGGAAGGCTTACCTCAACTCATTTTGATTGGGAAGCAAACGCAAGCATCAAATAATGAAACATGCAAGACAGCAACCAGCGAGTGCCCCATGCCGCATCCAAGTTACCAGCCGGTTGCGCCATGATGATGTCCGGCCAAGCAAAGGGCTTCGAGGAGGCTGAGGTCGAAACACAACGACCAGGAGGAAAATTGCGCAAGGAGCTCAGACCTACTGAACAACGTGAGCGAACCTTCACTGGCCAGTTCAAGCCCGATGGCTGTCAAATATCATGTCGTGCTACTGCTACAGTGCCTCGCTGGTCTTATTATTATCACCAAATTATTCCATCACTGCCGAGGAGTCTGCTCCAATGCTGCGGCAGGAAACAACAACGAGTGCTCACATGTCAGCCATGCGTACCACCAATAAATCAGAAGAGTTTTGACACACCGAAGCAGGCGAGTGGATGGGGCTAACCTTCAGACCATCATATCGTCGAGGACGGCCATGGTCGCGATCTGACCTGGCCAGTCATAACGCACAACCAACAATTCGCAATCACAAACACACACACACACACACACACACACACACACACACACACACACACACACACACACACACACACACACACACACACACACACACACACACACACACACACACACACACACACACACACACACACACACACACACACACACACACACACACACACACACACACACACACACACACACACACACACCCACACCCACACCACACACACACCACACACACACACACACACCACACACACACACCCACACCCCACACACACCCACACCCCACACCACACCCACACCACACACACACACACACACACACACACACACACACACACACACACACACACACACACACACACACACACACACACACACACACACACACACACACACACACACACACACACACACACACACACACACACACACACACACACACACACACACACACACACACACACACACACACACACACACACACACACACACACACACACACACACACACACACACACACACACACACACACACACACAACCCGAACTCTACCAAAACTGGAGAGGTCCTGAATGAAGATCCAAACGACCTCCGACCACGTCGCCAAGGAACCTGGCACGAGGCCCAGACCCAACAACATGAGAGAGCTGCTACTAATAAACCATCATTCGCACCAAGACCGCAAGAAGCCTAAGGAGGGTCATGGTGGAGTCCACGCACATCATCTGACCTTGCCAGGCGGTTTTGAATGTTGCGATGCACAGCAGCAGAAACAAGAAGCCACCGAG